AGACCTGAAACTATAAAAATACTAGAAGAAAACTTAGGGAAAACTCTTCTGGACATTGGTGTAAGCAAATAATTCTTGACAAAGACCTCAAAAGCACAGATGACAAAAACAAAGATAGACAAATGGGATTTAATTTAGCTACAAAGCTTCTGCACAGCAAAAGAAATAATCAACAGAGTAAGTGGACAACCTACAGAACGGGAGAAAATATCTGCAAGTTCTGCATCCAACAATGGACTAATATTCAGAATATACAAGCAACTTAAACACCTTAACAAGACAAAAACCAAATAATCCCATTACAAATTGAGCAAAGGACATGACAGACAATTTGCAAAAGAATACATACAAATGACCAACAAGCATACGAACAAATGCTCAACATCACTAATTATCAAAGAAATGCAAATCAAAATCACAATGAGATGCCATCTTACTTCAGTTCAAATGGCCATTATTAAAATGTCAAAAAATAATAAATATTGGTGAAGAGGTGGAGAAAAAAAGGAATGTATATACACTTTTGGTGGGAATATAAATTAGTACAACCTCTATAAAAAACAGTAGGAAGATTTCTCCAAGAACTAAAAATAGATCTACCATTTAATCCAGCAATCCCACTATTGGATATTTGCCCAAAGGAATAGAAATTCTTAAATCAAAAAGTTACCTGCACTTGTATGTTTAGCACAGCACTATTCACAATAGCAAAGATATGAAATCAACCTTAAGTGTTCATTAACAGATGACTGGATAAATAAAATATGGCACATATATATGGAATACTACTCAGCCATAAAAAAATAAAATTATTTCTTTGGCAGCAACTTGTATGGAAACGGAGGCTATTATGCAAAGTGAAGTAACTCAGAAACAGAAAATCAAATACTACATGTTCTCACTTATAAGTGGGAGCTAAATAATGAGTATACATGGACATAGGGAGTGCAAAAATAGACACTGAAGATATAGAAGGGGAGGAAATGAGGGAATCGGAGGGCAGTATAAAATGAGAAATTACTAATTGGCACTATGTACACTAATTGGGTGAGTGTTACACAAAAAGCCCAGACTTCACCACGATGCAACATACCCACGTAACAAATCTGCACATATACCTCATACATCCATAAAAATAACTTTTAAAGGAGGTAAGATAAAAGATTTTTCAAAATTGTGTTCTTAGTTTCATTTTCCCTTTTTCAGGTCAGAAAAAATACATTGACCTATGCAATTCAGACAAGAATAAAGTATGTGACTAAGGTTTTCAGAACAATGATATACTTCATGTTAAGATGAAATGATCACGCTCTTCATTCAATCAAAATATGAAAGCTATGAAACACTTATTAGAGCAAATATCCTAGGTTATAGTACATTATTCATCTATGAAACTCAATTTGTTGAGAAACAGCAAACAGCTTTATGAAATTCAGATGAAACTCAGATGTAGTGATTTGGGTCAGTATTAAATTAATAGAGATATAAAGTAGCAAATGAATGTTAAATTTATGAAAGCAGAGTAAAAATAAAAGATTTTAAAAATTAAAGAAACAATGGAGCAATAAATTGAGGAGTGACATCAGCAAGATGATGGACTAGGAGCTCCTGATCTTTGTCCCCTCCCCGATAAAAATAATTTAACAACTACACATCTATGAAAATTGTTCTGGCAGAACTCTGGAATATAATGAAGAAGCTGCAGCCACCCGGGAGAAAAAAAAAAAAAAAATCTCTGGATGGTTGCATAAGAAAGTATAGGAAGCACTTTACCTGTGTCACCCAATTCCAGGACAACTCAGTGTCAAGAGGAATCCTCCTGGCATGAATTCCCTCCATGGGAGGAAAGGAGAGCTGAAGGACTTCAGAAGCCTTTTCCACTGAGAATCCCAACAAGGCTCACCACTGTCTCACATAGACACTTGTAGCTTTTGCTACCAAGGACCCCTACAGTCTCTTCCAACACCTCCTTACTGACACTGACTCCAGATGACAGAGCTGCCTAGAGTTCACACCACCACAGCTCCCAGAGAAGATGCCACTGCTGCCCCCATATCAAAGCCACCCACAAGCCATACTTCACACCACAGCATATGCCCCAGGCCCTGGTACTATCGCCGCTCTGTGCACACCCACTCCTCAGACACCAACTGCCACTGCATGCATGCATATGACACAGACCCTGCTACCAATAATACTGCTGCCTCATTCATGCCTATGTCCTGGGCCTCAGCACTGCCACCACTGTATACATACTTGAACACCAGGCCCCAGTGTCAAGAGCAATACCCCTGGTCATGACTTTCCCCCATGTGAGAAAAGGAGAGGAGAAGGAACCAAGCAACTGTGTGGTCAGGGATGCTGCCGAGAGTCTCTACTAGGGCAATGCCTAGGGGAGATTTAGGACAGGGCCACCCCTAAGATCCCACAACTATAGAGCCACCAGTGTGCAGCACCAACCTGGGAGAACCACAAGCATGCAATTTCAATGTGTGACAGCTGAAGCCTGGGTTGTGCCTAGCAAAGCCATAGGAGCAGATTTGCCTGAGGCCTTGGGGTTAAACTTCCATCCCAGTGGGTGTAGAAGGCAGGACATGTTAAAAGAAGATTATTCTCCAGCCTAAAGATTTAGTATTGTCATCCCCATTGAGTTTTTTACTAACTTGGGAACATTTACTTCTTTCTTCTTGCCTATTTCCCCCTTTTGAAATGGAAATGTCTATCCTGTGCCTATAGTGCACAGGGTGGTAAATACAGTGGTATATTCAAGTGTTTTTCCACAAGGAAAAGTTATGAACACCAAGAGTGTCCCTTATAACAAGAGTTGTCCCTACACATGGCTTCCTCTATTGGAAAGATTATTGAGACTCATACTTTTGCTGTTTTCTAACCCATTCCTATAAAGTGTCTTAAAAACAGTCCCAGCCATGAAATATATTAAAGATCTAAACCTAAGAGATGAAATCATAAAGTTCCTAGAAGAAAACATAAGGGAAAATCTCTTTGATACTGATCTTGGCAATGAGTTTGTGGATATGACCCCAAAATACAAACAACAAAAACAAAAATAAACAAGTGAGACTACATCAAACTAAAAAAGCTTCTGCACATCCAGTGAAACAATAAACAGCATGAAGAGACAATCCATACAGTGGAAGAAAATATTTGCAAACCATATATCAGATAAGGGATTAATAGTCAAAATATATAAGGAACTCACACAACTTAACAGCTCAAAACTAAATAACCCAATTGAAAAAATGAGCGAATGACCTGAATAGGTATTTCTCCAAAGAAGACATAAAAATGGCCAACAGGTATGTGGAAAAAGTGCTAAACATCCCAATCATCAGATAAACGCAAATTAAAACCACAATGAGATACCACCTCACACCTGTTAGGTTGGCTATTATCAAAAAGACAAGAGGTAAAAAGTGTTGATAAAGGTATGGAAAAAGGGGAACACTTGTACCCTATTGGTGGGGCTATAGATTGGTGTAACCTTTGTGGAAAACAGCATGGAGGTTCTTAAAGAAATTAAAAATAGAACTACCATATGACCCAGCAATCTCTCTTCTGTGTATATACCCAAAGGAAATAAAATCATCACTGTGTTAAGGTAAAGATATCTGTACTCTCATGTTCACTGCAGCATAATTCACAACATCCAAGATATGGAAATAACTAAAGCATCCATCAACAGATGAATGGAAACAGAAGTTGTATTGTATAGTGTATACACACAGACATACATAAGACTATGATTCAGCTTTAAAATAGAAAACCCTCCATTTATAACGACATGGATGAATCAAGATGATGTTATACTACATGAAATAAGCCAGACAAAGAAAGAAAAATACTGCATGATCTCACTTATATGTGGAATAAAAAAAAAAAATGAATACATAGAAATAGAGAGTAGATGCTAGTTACCAAGGGTGTGTGTTGGGGGATGTGAAATGGGGAGATATAGGTCAAAGTGCACAAAAATGCAGTTATTTCAGATGAATGTCTAGAAATCTAATATACAGCATCAGGACTTAGTAATATCGTATTGTATACTGAAAACATGCTAAAAGAGTACATTTTAGATGCATTTACCCCCCC